AACTCAAAGACACACACACACACAATGTTCACAGGGGCTCCACAGTGTAGAGGAGACGGTAACACAATCCACGGAGGGAGGGAAGGCATTGACTTGACTCAGCAGAGCTAATCATTCTCCATGCGCTTATGTGCATGGAGTCAACTTTACCTTCTAGAAACTCAAGGCTTTGGGTGCACGTCTCACAGCAACCTTGTAACGGGGTGGGTTCCCAGGGCTCCCCCCATGTCTGATTTGGGAAGGGGCAGATGGTTTCAAGGTCAACTCTGGGGGTTTGCACCCATGCGCTTTGCTTGACAGCATTACAGGAGTGGTCAATGGGTGGCTCAGGTCTTGGAGATGGTTCTCTTGCGTGACCTTGCTTTTCTGGCTGTGCAATTGTGAATCATCATTGCAGATTGTGTGGGATGGGTGTGGCTGTCACTGGCTGGCTTGGGTGCCCCCCTTCCCCACCGTTTTACAGCTCTTTGGAATGTGGTAACTCTGTTTGTATAGGGTTTGTTTCTTGGCTGAAGTCCACAGGCTCAATCAACTCATGTTGACTGTGTGGGTTTCTATATATATATATATAGACACACACTTTCTAAACAAGAATATTCAATAAATGAGATCAAACAGGAAGCAAATGCTCCTGGTGACCTTTTCTGACTCTTTTATTTTCTTTTTGCCAAGAATATGGATTAAATATTGCTTGCTAGAAGGCTACGTTTAGTTGCTGGTCAGCCTAACCCTTAAAGCATCCATTACCTTCTTTTAAAAATGCAGCAGAAATCTTTTCCTATCGGTTGAGCCTTTGTCCTCCCTTAAAGATGCCCTTGGAAAAATGAAAATGCCCCATGCAACTGCATCATTTCTCTGCAGTTCCCCCAACCTCCTTAAAAACCAAGGGAAGAGAAACAGGGAAGTAGGACAGAACCAGATTCCAGGTTCACACATTACACTAAGCCATGATGGGTGTTTCTGGCATCCAGCTTTCCACATCTGAGCCCTGCAACACTGCCCTTGATGGTTTTGTAGGTAATGCAAGCCTGGCTAATGATGGCTTATTTAGCCAACCAGGATGAAGCAAAGCAGAGTTCAGGAGAACATCCAGCCCCTAATCCTCCCTCCTGGCTCTCCACAAGCCAATAAAAACAGTTGTATTTGGCTCTCCCTCTGGACTTCATTGCTTGATTGAAGGAGTTCCATCTTGATATACATGTCATGTTTTTATTCCTTCTCTTTTCTGTTCTTCCTGGACACTGCCCAAAGACTCCTGAGTTCCCAAGCCTCAGAAGCAAAATGTAAACTAAGAAAGAAATGTATTTCCTTGAAGCAGCGATTACGACGCCTTGCTGAGCCTCCCCAATTGTGCAAGGTTTACCGGGCTGCAATTTGCAGCCCGCTTCGGACTTTTTCCCAGCAAATTAACGCAGGTGCCGAGAGCAATAGGTTAATCCTTCTTTGAGCCAAGAATCTGAGGCATCCCCGGTGTCCAAAAGTCTTGCATTGTTCTCAGCAGCTGGGAAGAAATGAAGAAGGCGGCGGAGGGCCTCCGCAAGTATATGGCCAGCAAACGTTTTGCTTGCAGCCTTGCAGGTGGCCAGAATGCCACACCGAGGCCAAGAGGAAACACTTTAATTGATTTGGAATGCAAATGCAATCAGCTTGAAATTCAGGGAGCAGGAAGCAGTAGTAGGTAGTGAAGAAGGACACGAATGGGAGAAGAAAGGGGTGACTTCGTAAAAGACCGGAAACCTTTTATGGACTTCTTTGTTAAAAGAAGAAAAAAGTGAAATGGTGATTTATGGATTTAATGATTGAGAAAGATGAGAATTAAGTAAGGGTCTAAAGGGATTTCTGGAATAGGTGAGAGGGAGGGGAGATGATGGATTTGTTAATATCAGTTGAAAAGAAGGTTGGAAGTCATCTACTTCAATTTCTTTAGTTGTTTCTTTTTTGTTTTTCTTTTTTCTTTGCACTCCTTCCTTCCTTCCTTCCTTCCTTCCTGAGAGGCTCTCCTGGGGGAAATGGTGTAGTCAGCTGTGGACATGGATTCTCAAACTCAAGAGTAAAGAGTCAGATCTTCATCTGATGCCCAAAAGCACAGAAACATAGAAATATAGAGTTGGAAGGGATCAGAGGGACCACCTAGGTAGATAATACCATCACCAGTTTGGAGTTCAGCACCTTTTTCCCATGATAATTTCTGGGGATCAATGCAGCCTTGGAAAACACGATTGTCCCTTCAGTAGGAATGCATTTCATCATCATGAGAGGAGCTGATGACCTCTTCTTTAGGAATCTTCCTCTCCCTCCCTGGATTTGAGTGGGAGAACCTTGCAACGCAGCACTGTTTCCCATCAAATAGGACACCCAAGCACCAGGTGGAAAATCTCAGAAAGAGTGGGGAAGAATTTTCTGAGGAGGAGTTGGGAATCTCTGGAAGATTTTCTCCAGAATCCATACCACCACCAACCTGAACCATCACCCATCTAATTTCTGAAAGCAGAAGGAACCCGAGTGGGTTCCCTAGGATTATCTTTGTGACTGATTGAGATGGGAACTCCAACACATTCATGTTTTTGTCTTCCTAGAAATGGGCTTCAAGTGGAACAGTTGGCATCTCCGTGGAGCTCTGATCCTTTTGGGTATATTTTCTCTCACTGCCCTGATTCTTAGCTTGGTGAGAATCCACAATGTTGCACAACCGTCTGAGAACAAGGTGAGTGGGCAAAGCTATTTGGAGACACTGTGGCACAATGGTTAAAGTAGTGGATCGGGACTGGAAAGACTCTGACTCAAGTCCAGTTTTAGATGTGGAAGCTTGATGTCTTGCAGCTCAAGACAGGACAAGAAAAGCAGAATATCTAACAACTAAATGAATGGGCATACTATATCTTTATCTGAATTTGCTGGTTGAACCTGGAACACTGTCTTAACAAGACCAGCTGTCTAATTTTTTTCGTTTCACACCACTTTTCTAATTGTATTTTTTAAAAATACCTTCAGGCAGAAGTAACTTCCTATTTCCACTGTAGTACAGAACTTCACAAAAGTTATTTCCTTTTCATTTAAATTCTCTAATGAATACATCAAACACTATAAACATTTTTATATCTGATGATAGTTTTTTGAAAAAAAAAATTGCTTTTCCATGACAACATGATATCTTCATTTCCTATTATTAGAAAGTGTATTATTCAACTGAGGTCTCTCTGTTGTAACAGCTAGACCAAACTTCCATTATCAGAAAGACGATAGCTGGGAATGTTAGTTGCAAAGAACATGACGAGAAGTTCTCATATCTTGCGCATGGCTTCCCATATGCATCTTTTGGGCAGTTTGAGAAACAGAGCACCATTTGTATGTTCTTCTAGAACAGTGTTTCTCAACCTTGGCAACTTTAAGATGTCTGGACTTCAACTCCCAGAATTCCCCAGAGAAACACTGTTCTAGAATCTGTAGTTCCAAAACAAACCAAATATCTAGGCCTTAAGATTAGGAAGAGACTTTGAAATACGAAGGCTGTTCCTTTTCATATCTTGAAACTTGGTGATCTGGAACCCAGAAATCACCTCTGCATTGCTCCGCATTGCTCCATATACTAGAATGGACTTCCTTCTTGATTTTACCATTCAGATTTCAAAATCAAGCTTTTTATTTTTATTTTTTTTGCTCCAAATCGATCACCCATTCTAAAATTCATCTGCTTCCACTTTTAAGGGTGAGAAAGACTACTGAAGTTCTCAGAAAGAGTGTGTAGAATCGCTTTGATAAATTATATTCAGAAATGAGAAACTGTTTGTGCCCTGGGAAGCAAATTACTCCAGGGCTGCAAAAAATGGAGAGGGAATTTTAGCCTCCTGTCTTGCCCCCATCATTAACCTTCCAGTTCATCATACGTACATTTTTCTAACTCTATAGACTGCTGCTGCCTAGGACTTTAAAGCCATTCTCAATCAAATCTGCAGAACAGCTGATCTGACAGCTCAGGTTTTACAAAGCTTGGTTGAAGCTGAGTTGCTTTTCCCCACCTGACTGTTTTATTTTGAATGACTTCTTTCCAGTATGGCTTGGTGTTTGATGCAGGTTCATCACACACGTCCCTCTTTGTATACCAGTGGCCGATGGAGAAGGAAAACAATACGGGCATGGTTAGCCAAATGTTCTCCTGCAATGTCAAAGGTCAGTTTTTCTTTTTTTCATTATTCTGAAATGTATTATGGTGTCTGTGGAAGGTGAGGCAGAGTATTCAATAGCAGAGAATATACAGTACATAGCCCAGTTGGGTTCTTGATCTTCTCCAAGCTTGGTGGTTTTCTTGCAGATGTTTCCTTACCAGATGCTGTTACCTTGCTGGTAATGAAACATCTGTAAGAAAACAACCAAGCTTGGAGAACAGCAAGAACCCAACCAGCTGTGTTGCCTATGGGCAAACCCCAGTGTTTGAGACACTCCATATGACCACGCCAGCAATTGAATTTCCTCCTCTTGCTTTTTGTCATTCCAGGACTTGGAATATCAAGCTATGCCAGTAACCCTCCACAGGCTGGTGCTTCTCTGCAGGAATGTCTGAAGGCAGCCATGGAAGTCATCCCTCCTGAAAGACAGCGAGAGTCACCCATTTATTTGGGAGCTACAGCTGGCATGAGGCTACTCAGGTACAAAGGGTTCAAACACGGTGCTAAACTCAGGTTTGTTTAATTGTGGTTTATTACGACAAACAGAACTGGCTGGGTTTGCACAAGGTGCTAAGCCATTAACCTCAGTTTGCAAACCACAGTTCACAGCTTCAGCAGTTACGATTGGGGTGGTGACCTCTGAGATGCTTTTCTTGACTCCTCTGACCATATTTGCAATTTCTCTCTCCCATTTTCGAGCAGGGGAACCAGGAAAAGTGTAGCTTCATCCCACAAAGCAAAGAAAAATGGCAAAATTCCATCTCCCCCCAAATTCAGGAGAACTAAGTCCCAAATCACAGCTTTGTCCACGGTGGTCCTCAGGCTTTTAAACCTGAAGGGTGGGCTTTGCCCATCAAAAGGTGCATCCCTGTGCATAGTTAAAGCCAACCCAATGGCATTTTTTGGGTTGCAGGAATGGGACCAGCAAAATCTGGTCCACCAAGGAACTTGAGAATAAATCTGTGACTGCTTTTTTTTCTTTTAATGGAGAAGTTATGACTCCCATTAAGTCAAGAGTCTGGTGGCGTCATTTCTGACTAACACCTTTTATTAAAAGCTCATAAAAGCTTCTGCCTTTTAATAAAAGGTGTTTTAATAAAAGGTGTTAGGAGAGGTGTTACCTGATTTTTCGCCATCGTAGACTAATGCAGCTTGCTCACTTCCTACAATGGCTGCAACCATTAAGGAGAAATGGCTAAATTGACGTTTGATTAAGGCGGGGACAGTCTTCTATAAAAGACTGGGAAGCTTTTATGGATTTTTTTGCTGCAAATGGATCAAAATGGTGATCTTTGGATTTACTGATTAAAAAGGGATGTATATGGGAAGAAGGGAACCATGCTACAGTATGTAACTTGGGAGGGTGGAAACAGCGTTAACTACAATTGAAATTGCTGCAAAGATCAGAAGTCACTTCTTTAAATATTTCTTTTTCCTTGGTCTATACTATGGTTTACCTTTTCTTCTACTTTTCTATCTTCCCTATGTTTCTTTTTATATCTTTCTCCCTTTTTAATTTTTCTGTAGCTTTTCACTTCGTAAAAAAGTTGCTTCAATAAAAATGATTTAAAAGAGACTCTAATTAAGGAGGATTCTTAGTGCTCCAGATTAGGGAAGGAAGGAAGGAAGAAATCTCAGCATAGGCAACTCATCTGGATTTATTTCTTAAAGGAGTATGTTTCTAGTCCTTATGGAAGCAAAAACTCATGCCTTTCTATGTGAACGATTCGACAGCATGCAGAACAAGTCAGCAGCGGCGCAGATTTTGGAGGCGGTCTCGCAAACTATTCAGCAGTATCCTGTGAATTTCCAAGGGGCTCGAATTATCAGTGGGAAAGAGGAAGGCACGTTTGGCTGGATCACCATAAACTATCTGCTGAATTCTTTCACACAGGTAGGGCTGGGTCATGCTTTAGATACACGTTGGGTGTAGGATCTGGGCGCAGCATTCCGATTTATGCAAGAATATACCCTTTCCAAAATTGGGGGAGCATCCTTTAGGTTTTCTTTTTTAAAAAAAAAAATTATTTGTTTGATAAAAGTCTGAGGTTTCTTCCAGATGAAAAAGAACCCTCCTTCCTTCAGGGCGAAGTCCTTAAAAGCTCCAACTTAAAAACTAAGGAACAAGACACACACACCAGTTGGAAAACTCAGTGTGTTATTGTAATGAATTTATTGATCCCACCCAGTGCACTGTAGTTGAAAAAGAGGAATTAAGTAGTCAAGATGAAGAAAACAGTCCTTAGGGCATTGGGCAGGGACCATGGCCATGATAGTCCAGTTCACCCGGGGAGCGTCAGCTGGCAGAAGATTGTTTGGGGAGCTCGCCTTGACCGATCAATCAGATTCATTTCTGTCTGTTGTTGCTTTGATTTGGGGGAGGGTGATTTGAGGGGAGGGGTTAGTTTTTCATGTACATGGTTAGCTCTTCCCTCAGAGAAGAGTGGGAGCCTTTCTCAAAGAACTGGGGTGGGGGGCGTTAATCTTGAAATTGCTCTGCACCTTGGCTGTCTCTCACCCTTGGTTGTCTCTCACCCAGAGATGTTCGGAAAAGATTCTGGTTATCTTAAAGGGGCAGCAATGGGTTAGGCATGTCTTCTCCTTCCAGGCTCTGATGAAGTACCTGGTTTCCATCCAGAAGAGGTTTTCTACATCCCACACCAAGATAATTGAACTGCCATCTGGGTTGACCTGCCCTGATGGAGTCTTAGCCCTTGTTCCCACCCTGCCCTCATTTTATCTCTGCAGTATTCGGTAAAAGACCGAGGTTGGATCCGGCCTCCGTCAGCCAATATCCTGGGAGCTCTGGACCTTGGAGGAGCCTCCACCCAGATCAGCTTCATCCCCGCCGGCTCTATTGCAGATCCGGCCCAAGCCGCGCAGTTCCGCCTCTATGGGTTTGACTATACCATCTACAGCCACAGCTACCTGTGCTATGGCCAGAACCAAGCCTTCCAGCGGGTGATCTGGGCAATTCTTGTAAGTTAACCAGAGGATTGTTTGGAAGCCGCTGGGGAGGATGGGAGGGGGGGCAGTAAGAAAAGTGAGGGGAATATTCGATGCGTTGGCTGCTCCCTGTTTCGACCGAGGGGAACAGGTGGAATTGAGAGAGCACGCAGAGAACCATCTGCTTTTTTTAACCAAGGAGCTTCATTTGTGTTCCGGCATTCTTGCTGTTTTCCCGGCTTCTTGGAGGAAAGGGTTTCAGTGGGGGTCCCTGAGCCAAATCAAGGATGATGGTGTCCTTCTCTGGGGAATCTCCAGCCAAAGGGCCCAGGGAATGTTTATGATAGGGGCAGGGCTGTGGTTAATTCTGTGAATGTTGTCTTCAGGATGGAAGCACCAGCGTTGAGGTGGATCAACCCTGCTATCCAAAGGGTTACAAAGAAACGGTGCAGAGAGCACCCATCTATAGCAACTCGTGTGTCAAGCCTCCCTCCCTGACCGCATCCTCAGGGAACGTAACTCTGCTGGGCCAAGGCAATTCCACCCTTTGTCGGGAAAGGTTCAGGAGCATCTTCAATTTCTCCGGCTGCCGAGATCTCTTGCCCTGTGGCTTCGAAGGGATCTACCAGCCAAAAGTCAATGGGAAGTTCTTGGTAGGAGGCTTTGCTAACAAATTCTGAATTCCCAGAGAGGGGAGTTAGATTTATGGGCGTTCTCTGAGATTATGGATAGTTTGGGGCATCTGTTCCATAAATTAAAGAGCAGATGCAGGAATGTTTCTCAGATTGGGACCCTGGAAGTAGGAGTCTTTGAATCTTCGCTCTGACCCATTGCTAGCCTCAAAGCCTTGGGGGTTGCCTAGGAGTTGGGAGAACTGTGTGTTTGAGCCAGCCTTGGCCATGCTGAACCATTCTCCTAAAAAAAAAAAAGGGGGGGGCGCAAAGGAGATGTGGGGTTCCTTGCCTAGCTACGTTCCTGCTTTGCCCTCATTGCTGTTGAACTAATCTAGATGAGATCTCCACCCCATTGCAGATACGGTGAGAAATTTCCAATGTGATGTTTGTATTTTTTTTTTTTAAATCTTCCAGGCCTTTTCTGCATATTACTACACTTTCCACTTTCTGAACCTAACAGAGACTCAGCCACTCGCCACTGTAGAGAGAACCATTCAAACTTTCTGTGCCAGAACATGGAAAGATGTAAGTATCTTAGTATTCTCTCTTTTCATCCATCCCCTCCTTTTTCTCTCCCTCCCTCCCATCCACCCCCTCTTATTTATCCATCCATCCATCCATCCATCCATCCATCCATCCATCCATCCATGACTATTCTGACTTTTTAGGCTGGTGATACAGAAAAGGCACTTCCATTAATATGCCCTTGGTCTTAATCTGTGCTTCTCCCAGTTGAGCTCCAGTTACCCTGGTGAAAAAGTGTTCCACCTAAAGAATTACTGTGGCAGTGCCAACTACATCTTGACCCTTTTATTGGAGGGTTACGGCTTCCGAAATGACACGTGGCAAAACATCGCCTTCCAGATGCAGGTGAGACAGGCTCAGGTGGTGTTGACCCAACAGAGTTTACTTTGGTTTATTGTAAGCTGCCAGACTCTCCGTGTTGCAGGTGTACGTTTTTCCAGCAAATAAGCACACCTGTTCCCAAATAAATCTTTCCCGTCCCTAATAGCCCTGTTTTTCCCCACAGGCTGCCGATTCTGATATCGGCTGGACGCTGGGATACATGCTCAACCTCACCAATATGATCCCAGCTGAAGCCCCTCAACTGCTCAAGGGACACGAGGAAGGGATTTGGGCCGCAAGCATCTTCTTCATCGTGGCCACCCTGGTTCTCTGCCTCCTCCTCCTCATTTTGCATTCTGTGCTGTGAGAGAGACCCCACAAGGACACATCTCCCTGGCCTGGGAGGCGTTCCCAGTCTTGTCTGGCCAAGGAATGAACCCCCATTGCCACGCACTTCCTACCTCATCAGCCTCCGCCCATTTTGGCCCGAGGCAGAGATACTGTCCTCCCGTGGGGAACACCAACCCCAGCCCTGCTCCGTCTACTCCTCTCCAACCTTGGGACATTGGCTTGTTTGTTCAGAGGTCCTTTACTATTTTTATTTTTATTTATTAAACCTGTCAGCCACCCCCCCCTCAAGACTCGTGACACCTTCAAACTACTGTATGGTGGGACTTCCCCAACAGAAAGGCACGCAGGTTCAACAAGGAGAAGACAGTTCGTAGAATACTGCATAAGCAGTGATGACAATGTCTCCTTGCCAAAGGAAAATAATTAATTTTCAGAAAACACATCTAGAAAGGAACATGAGGGTCCCTTAGCATGGACCGGGGTGGCTCTGGTTTGAATTCTACCTTTGCCTGAAATTGTCCTGCAGCCTCAATTGCCAATCTTCAGAACTGGGTTACAAGGCGGGTTATTTATTTTGATAAGACTGTTGGAAAGATCCTGGGTTTGGCCCGCCTCAACTCCCACACCAAGGGATTTCTAGACGTTGCTTGTATTCTTATTTACTTTTGGATTCTGTATGGGGCAGCGGTGGGATTACTGGACCTTCTGAAATAGTTCCATGAATGCCGAGGCTGGGTTCGCACAACCTTCTGGACCCAGGTCAGTGAAAGACCTAGCAATTACATTCGCACAACAGGCTAACACGCTGCCCTAGAGGTAACTTTGCTCAGGTGGGTCTGACTCAATGTATTGTACGAACTGAGGTCACATTTAAGCAAACTAGGGTGGAGGACATTGTGGGAACGCAGCCGCAACATGGGAATTATGAGCTCTGGCAGTTTTCTATCCTGACCAGAAATTCCTCATGGTGGAGATTGACAGCAATTTTCTCCGGGGGGCGAAGACAATAATATAATTTCCTTTTATAAGCGGGAGATGTGTTTGGACGGGCGTGAATACATCCATGCAAATAATGAAATGCAGCGCGCGTGCAGCAAGAAGACAGAAAATCCACACTCTGGCACCGTATCCCAACCGCAGGGAAACCGAGGCTTGGTGTTGGCAAACAGGGCTTCCTCTCTGCCTCTAGAGTCGGGTGAGCCTGGCGCAGTCCGGCTCCGCGAAGCGCTTGGGGAAGATGCCCGTAATTCCGTTGCATCGGCCTTCCAGCCATTCCCCGTTCACTGTGGAAACGCAGCAGAGGCAAGGTGAGGACGGGGAGATCCCTTGAGAAGGAAAGCCATCCCGGATCGATCTCTTCTAGGGTTGACCAGATTCCAAAGGGAGAGGGAGCTCCCCTTGAAGAGGTGCAGAGAAGGAAGTTGGCGGAGGCCAAGTGCATTTGCCAGAAGGGTCTATCCAGCCCGTTTATTCCCAAGATATCAAAACCATCCTATCCAAGGCTGAGTGCTTTGAGTGGCCGCCAGCAAACCCATCTGTCTGGACGGGTGTCCTTTTTTTCCTACCTTCAGACAGAATCTCCAGGACGTCACCATCCTTGAAGTTCAAGTCCTCTGGGGCCTCAGAGGTGTATGCGTGTTGCCCCACCATACGGTAAAGCACAGGCTGATCCCCACCTTCTTCTTCACCCTTGAAAAGCACAGTCCAAATAGAATGGTAAAGGAAGCAGTTTGTGAATGCTATTTTTCTTTCTTTTTTTTAAAGAGCTCCCTACATGTAGAAAACTAGCACGGCAGGGAGAAGGCCTTGAGGAGAGTCCTGTCCTTGCTATGCTCATTTTCTGTATGCAAGGGTTAGGGATTCTAATGGTGGTTATTTTAGAAACCGAGAAATAAGAAACGTTTGCATTAAGAAACAAGGGCAATGGATCTCTATATTGCCCAAGTTGTGCCTTTTTGTAGATTTTAAGAATTGGGGAAATGCTCCAGGCTGAAAAAGAAGGGGCAGTGTAAATAAATTCTGAATGCACTCCTGTCCTCCTCTAGCTTGAAGGAATGGGCCAAAAGATGGGCAGTATATAAATTTAATAATAAATAAATAAAAGAGAGGGGATGGCCGTTGAATTTGCATTAGAACAGAAAGGGATTTAATTTCCCATTGTTGAACAAAATAGTTATGTACCTAAAGTTGCTCTCCACTGACTTTTGCAATGCAGATTCCCCCCCTTTTTTTAAATGGGGAAGTCTACTCAGAAGTCCCTATTCTCTGGAAAACAATTTCCAAAAGGGATTTTTCAAAACAAAAATTATGCATATTTGGGAACACGGCCATAAAAAAGGCACCCGACCAGGAAAATGATCACTAGAATACACATACAGTGATCTGAAATGAATGTATCAGCTTGTTCCTAAAGTGGAACCTAGTTCCCAGGGTTAGGAATGTCCTTAAATGTGACATTTCTTTCAGTTCTCAACACACAGGGGAGATCCAGTATAGAATAGTCACCCCTCTGAGCACAAAAAACAATATATACCTGGCACCAAAGGGTCAGGTTGGCTCCTTGTACCTTCTGCCATAAATTCCTCAGTTCCTCATCACTCTTAACTGTGATTAAATCAGCACTCCCTGGAGCTTTGTACCTGTGTGGAGTCCGTGACACACACAAAATTCAAGAGTAATTTAACAGAGATTCACCCAACGTTCTTCATGAACAAAATATTGCAAAAATAACAACAAAGGCCCACTGTCTCGGTAGAAGTTCAAGCGAAAGGCTTTTTTTAAACAATCACCAAGGAGGCAGAAATGTGACACTGCAGCAAAAAAGGCCAACACCATTTTAGGCTGCCTTCAAGAAACCATAGCCTCCAAGGGACAAAAAGAAATAGTTGCGCTTTCTGTTGCCCTAATAGACAATATATTTGGGTATTATGTTAGTCTGGGGTACTGCTTCTTTGGAAAGAAGTGGACAACATGGAAAGGGATTCAAGATGAATTGATTTAGGGCTTCTGCCTTGCTGCTAGCAATGCTCTGAGTTTCTCCTTTTAACTAAAAAAATTTTTTTTTAAATTAAAGAATGCTTTTGCAAGGTAAAAACGATACAAATTTAAAGAAAAAAGAAAGGAAAGTGATAAGTAAATAGAAAGGAAAGGAAAAAGATGCAAAGAAGTGGCTTCCAATCTTCTCTACAGCACTTATAAATGCATTTATATTTTATTCTCTCTAAGGCTACATCATACTCTCCTTCTTTCCATATTCTACCCCTTCTCATCTTCAGACCCATCAATCACAAATCCTTTCTTTCCTGGGTTTCTCCTTTTAATTCTCTTCTGCGCAGCCCTGTTGCAGTCAAGAAGGCCACAGCTGAAAACCCAGTGGAGGAAAATTCCTCCATTGTTGCTCTTCCATGCTGGCTTCAGCCAGACCCACTGAGTTTCTAACCTGGATATGAACGGCAGAGGCACCCTGCCTGAAAAAGAAGTTGGCAACCCACCGATACTTCGAAGATCCCTGCCGCCAATCTTCAGCGAACTGCACACTTAAAATCAGTGAGTGTCGATGGGTTGATTGCCAACAGGACGGGGGGACCCCCACCTACCTCACTTGTACGGTTGCAGCCTGTCGACAACATTCTTCTTGTAAAATGGTGCCGAGGTCAGCCAGGGATGGGAGACTGCTCACCTTTCGATGTACAGTGAAAGAGGCATGAACTTTTAAGCAGAAGCTCTCCTTCGGGGGAGCCTCGGGGGCCTGCAGAGAGATGAGAAATCCTGCTGGTAAAAAACCAAAATAAAACTTCTGCCAACTTTCTTTTCCCATAATATGAAGAAGAAAAAATCCACTGGGCAGGAGAGGATCTCACCTCCAGAAGACATTCCGACTCGGGGCCTTCTGAATCTGCCCCGTCCGCCGCTCTCTCTCCTGCAAAGAAAGTTCCTCCTTTCATTTCTTTCATTCGAGAGAAAAGCAATCAAGGGGGCGAATGAATAAAAGCAGCAGCGGGGGAAAACGGGGGGAAAAAATTGCCTCTAATCCCTGGTGGAATTTGAATCTGGATGAAAATGATTCCTAAAAGACTGGGTTAGGAAGGAAATGTATCCTTGGGGTTGAAATAAACATCGCATCTCTAAATCACAGCCATCGTTCTTTACAAAATGTTTATATATACATTGCGGTTGTAACTAACTGTTTCATTCCCCTCCCCATGGATTCATTGTAGCTTCTTGTATTTCCCAGCCAAGTGTCTGTCTGTCTATATGTCTGTCTGTCTGTCTATCTATGAATTATTGGTCTGTCTCTCAATCATCTATCTATCTATCTATCTATCTATCTATCTATCTATTATCGGTCTGTCTCTCAATCATCTATTAATTATTGGACTGTCAATCATCTATCTATCTATTAATTATCAGTCTGTCAATCATCTATCATCGGTTTGTCTCTCAATCATCTATCTATTATCGGTCTGTCGATCATCTATCTATCATCGGTCTGTCTGTCAATCATCTATCAATTATCAGTCTATCAATTATCTATCTATCATCGGTCTGTCTCTCAATCATCTATCTATCTATTAATTATCGGTCTGTTGATCATCTATCTATCATCGGTCTGTCTCTCAATCATCTATCAATTATCAGTCTATCAATTATCTATCTATTATTAGTCTATCATCCATCCATCCATCGTTTTATTTCCCCTCACATTTATTTCATTGTAGCTTCTTGTATTTCCCAATGAAGCAAACCTGGATGTCGAAATGGTTGGAACTGATTTCCTGTTAGGAAAGTGGGCAGGAACTTCCACTTTCACCCATAGATTGCAATTCCAGAATGGAAATTGCAATTCAAAGAGGGCGATCTGGGGGGTTTGCACCTGTCAGTTCTGAAAATGATTTTATTTCATGGTGTTTAGCCTTTTTCCCTTTCTGCTGTGAGGCATGCTAAAACAAATAAGATAGAAAAAAGAGAAAAAATCAATAGTTGTGGGCTCCCTTGTTTTTGGGGGTTTTTTTTGCCTCAGCGAAGAGCTTCAGTTCGGGGCTGATATTATAGTGGCTTTCTTGATTAGGACACGTTAAAGAAGATGACTGATGTGTCATGCAAACACTGGAAACATCACCTGTCCTTGAAAATTGACTCCAAGGGGGCTGGTTTTATTTTAGAACAGCCTTGGGATTCATTGGGACTAAGCAATGCCCTGTGAACAAAACCAAGGGACAGATTAACTTATTAGGGTTGGCTATACTGTCAGCCAGATGTTTAGACTGGATCTGGCATTTTCTATCCACCTATGGAGTCCTTCCCGAGGACCTGGGATAGGCAGATGTTGTTATATGATGATGACGAGCAGATTAACTCTTCCCATTTTCAAAAGAAAAGTCAAATCCTAGAGTGGTTCTACAAGAAGTGGGCTTCTCTATGCACTCCATCTTCACCCACCTCTATGATCACAGTAGAAGATTTTGAAAGGCAGGGTGGTGGATAAGATACACCCACACCCACAACCCAACACACACCCCTTCATCTGCCTGTGGATCATTGGAGGTTTCAGAGGAAGGCTATGTTAATTCACAAAACTTTTGTGACAAGTTGGTTGTCATCTTGGGGCTGACCTGGTTTCCAAACCTCCTGGCTCTCATGAGGAAGTCTGGGAGGCGTGATTCCCGGTGGGGGTGGGACTCCTTGGAAGACCTTCTGCAAGAACAGAGATGCATTTTGATTTGCCAATGCCTTCCGAAAAGCCGATGTCACCCCTCTCTTCATGCCATGCGTTTAACCTGCTTGCTGAATTCACCCATGTCTGTGTTTGTACAATACACAAAACTGTAAAACAGCCAGACGAGGTGGGTTTCCACAAGACTGGTATAAACTGATACATTGCAAAGCCCAGCATTTTCATCCTCTGCTATGCTGGCTGTTGCTCGGCTGCTTATCTTTGCTGGGGTCAATTCAGTAAAGCAACTGATAGGAACTGTTGCAATGGTACGTGGGAATGACCTTGGGAGGCTGGGAGAAGAGATGCTGCCTAGGAAATGGTCAGATAAGAGGGAGCATAGCCCACAGCTGCATACTGGGAGGAGCAAGAGGCTCAGGAGGGACCCTCCCTGGTTTCTTGGGCTGTAAACGAGATGGGGTGAGAATTGTACTTTCAAAATTGCAAGATTCTGTTAATGTAGCCTTACAATAAAGTAGAATTAGCTCATCTGGTCATGTTTCCTGTCTAGTCTGCCTGGGAAGGCTGACAACTCTCCAGCCATGCCTGCATTATGAAATACAAGAAACCAGCATCTGGTGGCCAGCATCAGAGAGAGAGAAAAATGAGAGGAGATGCTTAAGAGAGTCTCTGGAGCAATTGTAGCATCTCCCTGACTTTGGCTGACCTTAAAAAGTTAACCAGGATTAGACAGGGTTACTCCTTGGATGAGAGACCCCCCAGGGATGTGAATTAGATAGAAGTTGAAGAACATCACAGAAGAACATAAAACCATGTCCATAACGTGGTCAAGAAAACCACATATATGTTTCCACATGACCAGAAGTTGAACTGGACTTGAAAGAGGTCTCAGGAGGTCTTAACATCTCTCCCAAAGAGAGGAGATTGACTTAGAGGATGGTGATTTATCATCTGTCCTGAGCAATGGTCAGATGAATCTCAAAGATTCGTCTTCCAGCTTTAAGGTTCTGTGGAACCCAAGAGGACTCCTGGCCAGCTGAAATATGGGCAACTGAGAAGAGGAAATTGGGGGGGGG